GTCTGTCTTCGTCTGGAAGCTCATCTGAAACCTGTCCATTATGGGTGACCCTGCTGGTATTTAAAATACCAGTGGCATAGCTTCCAGAATCACAGCAACTCACAAGCCACCACAGTCCAACAAACTGACAGACAAGTGGTGGACTGCAGCATTAGTACCTACTATATGGAGTCTTGGTGTAGAGCTGTGGGCTAATGCGTCAGACTGCAAAGTCGTTTGAACTACAAGGTTGGTGGTTCAAGCTTACCAGCTGCTCCTTGGAAACCCTATACAGGGTCGCTACGTGTCGGAATCAAGTCGATGGCACTTCACAACAACAATAATATATGGTACCTAACACAGTGTATGCCTTCAGAACATAAATATTTTTAAAAGAATGAAAGAATATATAAATAACAAAAGGATGTTTTCTCAAGAAAAAAAGTTTTTACAGTTAACCAAGGGTCGATGAACGAATAATTAAAAATTCACCAAGTATTATATGTACATTTTAGAGAAAAAATATTAGTATTGCTAAACTTAAATAAAAGCTCAACCTCACTCACATAAAAGAAATATAAATACAAGGAGCAATGTGATAGTAATTTTCAACTACTCTATCAGCAGTGATGAGAAATTATAGATGCTAGGTTGTGAAGAAACTATTAATTGTCATACTGTTGAAATTGATAAATCTCTTTATATTTAAATTTGATCTTATCAAAACTCTCACTCCTAGGAATTCATCCTAAAGATAAGATTAACATACAATGAGAAGATTAATACATGTTCACTGTAGTCTAGTATATAGTAACAAAACACTAGAAACAACCTATTTAATAAACTATGGTACCTCTTGAAATGTCATTAACTCAGTAAGACAATAAATCTGCTGTTTTGAAACTATCACCAAGTTATATGAAAAGTCCAAGTCAAAAACAGCAGCTACCAGTTAGATAAAAAGGAAAGAGTAAGCTGAATAAATACGTTGTTGTTGTTTTAAGTGCTATGGAGACAGTTTTGAATCATAGTGACCCTATACAGGGTTTCTGAGGCTTTTAAATCTTTTCCAGGAGCAAAAAGTCTCATCTTTCTCCCATAGAATAGCTTGGTTAGTTTGTACTGTGGACTTTGCGGTGAGAGGCCCAATTTGTAACCTGCTATGGATCCAACTCGATGGCACTTAACAAAAACAACATGCTACCTGTGTTCTTTGTCATCCTAAATGGACTCAAATTGTGTTCCTTTTAAATGTTCTTTGAATTCTCGCAATAAAAAGAAGTCTAAAGGAGGAAGATCAGGACTGTAGCATGGGTAGAGTAAGATTTCTCAAGAAAATTTTCTAGGAGACTCTTTGCTATCCTCAATGAGCAGGTACATTGGCATAATGGAAATTTTTCCTCAGTGCAGCTTTACTGGCCTTTTTCTCAGCAATGAAGTTTTCTATTTTCTTAAAACATCTTCCTAGTAAACTCTCATGATCATCTCCTGTCCTTCAAGAAAATCTATTATTTCTTTGGAATCCGCCAAAACAGTCACCATAACCTTCTGATCTGAACTTTCTGCCCAGAATTGAACTGGCCTAGCAGATCCCCTTGAAGCCATTGTTTTGGTAAGGCCTTTCTTTGAACACCCTCTAATAGGACTAATGAGAGAACTTGTCTGCAACTATCCACTTATCTCAGAGGTATATTTAAACATATTTCAAATAAACCCATTCAGGCATGAACTGGAAACTTAGTAGCAATATTTTTTTACTTACCCTGATATCAATATGATCACATATTCACAGAGTATATGTATAGAATACATAGTAAACTGACAAGTGTAACTACGTCTGTTAAATAAGATTAGAGAATGAATGTCTGATATAAGAGGAATATTTACTTTCCACAGTGTGTCCTCTCAACACTGTCAAAATTTTCTATTATACATACGTGGCACTGTGGGTTAATGTGCCAGACTGCGAAGCCATTTGAACTTCAAGGTCAGCAGTTCAAGCTCACCAGCTGCTCCTCAGAAACCCTATACAGGGTCACTATGGGTCAGAAATGACTTGACAGCACTTAACAACAACAACAACAACACACATTTCAATTTTAAGACTATGTAACATACATAATAAAGAAGAAATGGGAAATGAACAGAAAATTTTGTTATTGTTATTAGGGTTTCTGAGGAGAAGCTGGTGGAATTGAACTGTGGACCTTGCAGCTCAAACTGACCTAGGGTCCAGAGCATTATCCTGCAGCACTACATTTTTGTTGGTAAGTGCCATTGACTTGGTTCTGACACATAGGGTTTCTGAGGAGCAACTGGTGGTCTTGAACTGCCAACCTTGAGGTTCAAATTGACTTTGCATTCCATCGCATTAGGAGCACATAAAATCAAAGGATTTCTGAGACCTTTGTTAGTTTTATTAGTAGAGAGAATACTACATCTATATAAATATCATCGACCAAACTTTTATATCAGTTGTTTACTCAATACTTGAATGAAATGAAAATATTTCAGCAAATAGCAAGATTTTGGTGAAACAGACTCATATTGTTTCAATAATCACTTATTGAAAATTGCTGCATAAGACATTGCATTAGACATAATGCTTTTTACAGAAAAACTGTTAGAATGCTTAGATATAAGGAAAATATTGTGAACATTACATGCAGAAAGAAAAATTATACACACACACACAAGTTGGCTTCAAAGTGCTCATAGAAAAATTCCATTATCTTTCATTCTATTTTTCCATGAACTGTTTGAAGTCCCCTCATATATCCTGGTGTGGCACTGTAGGGTCAGCACTGGATTTCAAACCACAAGGTTGTCAGTTCAAACCCATCAGCTGCTCCTTGGAAACCTTATAAAGGGTCGCTATGATTTGGAACCAACTCAGCAGCATTTAATAACAACAACATACATATATATATATATTTGTTGTTGTTGTTGTTAAGTGC